TCGCAGCCTCACTTCTCACTGCGTTTCAAAGGTTGATCTGAAATGTTTTCTGAAGAAACAAGAAGCCTGTAAGCATTGAAACGTCAGTATATTTCCTACATCTTTTGTTTTCTCTGTGCTTTTGTCTGTTGATGTTCTCAACATGTGGCATTGTTTCCTTGATTTAATCTTTTTTTTTTCTATTTCATAAACTTACCTGGGACTAAATCCAGTCCTCTTGTGGCTAAACGTTATATTATTCTGAGTTTTCAATTCTCCTAAACCAAACAACATAAACCTTGTGAAGTTCATTAAAAGTGAACTTCACAATGTGGTAATGTGGTAATGAAGGGAATGAACTAATAAGATCACCACTGGAGAAACTATAACGAAACTCTCAAAGGATGTTGGCGTGGTGTGATCCTGCTGCTCCCTGAGTGTGTTTCGGTCTTCTCATTTGTAACTGCACAATTAAAGGCCCTCCCATAGCCGTCATCAGCAGCATTCTCCACTCTGATGAAAATGTGCTGACATGTCGAGCTCAGACACACTCAGATTCCTCACCTCTGTCTGTCTGTTGGTGTTTTATTTGCCTGGCGTTAGCTGATGGGTTCAATTTTTGCTTCTTCTAAAAGAAGCAGTCATGTTGGGGAAACTGAAAAATTGTTATATAGATAAATTACCGTCTTGAATCTTGTGTTAAATGAGGCGTAATCTAAGACTCTGACTGACCTTTAAATATATTCCTCAAAATGTAAGATTTTTTTTGACAGATAACAGTTATGTTTTTTAAGCAATTTAGTGAACCAGCTGTGTACAGTTATACCAAAATAAGCATAAATGGTCATGATACACTGAAAATGTTTTGTTGCTCTGGTACTGATCACTTCCATCGTTTTAACATGTTTTAAAGTTGGGAGTTTAGAGTTCAAAAATAGGTGTCTGCGATTAGTTTATGATTAGAAAGGAGTTCAGCAAATGGGAACGTTTTATCTGGCAAGAATATAAAATGTTTCCTGGTCACCAAAGAGGAGCAAAAGACAGAATACAGACATGCTGAATACACTTGAAGGTTTTTATGCTGCGTTTGTGGGAAGAGTTCATTTTGTTAGCACATGTGAGGATAGTCAATCAACTTTGTACCAGATTTGGCAGAGCCGGGTCAGTTATGACCAGGTTTCAGGTAAGAGGTATCTCTGGTCAGTCGCTCTATTTTTTGGATCTTGTTTCTCAGTTCTGTGGCAGCAGTAAGTCCTGTTACCAGAACAGGGAACGTCAACCTGCTGTCATGACGGCAGCTAACCTCGGTAGCCCTGCATTCCTGGGCTGGATTTCACAACACCAGATGACAGTTTTACCCAATATTCTATCTCTGTTCTGTCATTGGTGAATAATGGTCCTTCACTCAAATCTACAGTAAAAGTATTCTCAGCACTTTATTTTATTTTATTTTATTTTGCTTCACTCCGACAACAAACTATATGTGTTGATATTTTATGTGACGTAATAACACAAAGTATCTGATAATTAGGATTTGACTTAAAAAAGACACAAGGTTACAATAAAGTATGAAAACTCTGGCGTGCATTTCTATTCTGTTTGAATCGATGCTTGGCAGACCCACCAGCCACTACGATGCCAGCTGCAAGCCTTTTGGGGTTTGTCTCTGCCGAGCATTTTCCTTCTGGAAAGTGAAGCCTTTCAGCATTTTTTTTCTTTCTTCAGGTTCGCCCTGTTCTCTGAGAAATAAAGCTTTCCCACAGCATGATGCTGTTGTTTACATGCGTCACCGTTGGATGGTAGTGCAATGGCTCTCTTCCTGCCACTCTTTCGATTTGGATCTCTGCAGCTCCTCCAGAGTTACCACATTTTTCTTTTGTTAATGCTCTCCTTTGAGAGCCTGCCAATTTTTGGTGAATTACCACTTCTTGCAGTTATTTCATAATCTTTCAACTTTTGTGCTCTCTGAGATTTTCAAACCTTTGTATATTGTTTTATAGCCTAATAAGTCTTATATTTCTTCACAACTTCCTTCCCTGTCTGCCTGCGTTTGATGGTTGTCATGATGTTGTTTGCTCGTTAATTTTCTCCAACAAACATTTGAGGCCTTTACAGAACAACTGGATTTATATTGCACATGAAACCATTTCATAGTTTGTTTTAGATTTTCATTTGAATGTTTCTCACCTTTCACCTCTCCATATATTCTTCTGTTAGAAGCGGTAACATGTTTGCTATTAAGCAGAATGAAAGGCAAATTTATTAACCATTGCCTGGTTCAGCATAAAGCAGTTTCTGACATGAACTAGTTTTTTCTAGAGTTGTGTGGTGTCCTCTCAGCAGAAATGTCAAATTTGATGCTTTTTCGTCTGTTCTATTTTTATTTCCTGTAATGTGTTCGAGCTCTAATGAGTCGGAGGCCACACGCCATTGATCACTGCCTTCGTCATACTGCCATCAACAAAATCCTCATCAGTGCCGGTGTTTTGGTTCACGCTCCCTCCTGTGGTTCAATTCCCCTTTTTTTCCTTGTCTTCTTACCCATTACCACCAGTTTTCTCTCCTAGTTAAATGAAGTGCTGATAGCTGCTGCATTGTGTTCTGCTTCCACCCTCCTAGTCATCCCATTAAAGGGAAGCCTGTGAGGAAAACTAATGTTGCTTAGTTAGAAATCTGCTCTCATATGATACACAGCATGCAGTGGTTCATTAGAGACTTGTTGTCTCGTTTAAAGAATGAATGTTGTCTTTGTCTCATGGATATGTGATCTAAAAAGACTAAAATCATAACAATCAAGTAACTATGTTACCTTCAGTGGCTATGAAAATGCTGTATGTGTAAAAAAAAACAACTTAAAAGATATTTGCCTTTGATTTGAAGACGGGAGGATGGATGGGTCTCATGCCACCCCACACAAGATGCCGTCCTGGACGGTTGCCCATGTCATCCATATCAGAAACCGCCTCTGTCTACTGGTGCTGATTGTGTTTGCTGGGGTCACCACAAGGTCACAATATTTGAAAGTGCTTTTTTTTTTTAAGGTGAATTTTCCAAGCAAATTTCTGCAGTTGAAATCTATGGTGCCAAATTTAAAGTAAAAAACAAAATTCATATACATAATTGCAAGATTTAAAAAAATCAGTGTTCTAAATTGCTTTTCTTAAAAGGTATTATTTCTTAATCCAAGATTTTTCATAGTCTAACTAAATCTACTGAAATTAAAATATTGCTTTTTACTAACTTTGTCAAGTTTTGATTTTCTGCTACTGGAATAAAACAGAAATTTACTTGAAAGCTTTTTTATATATACATATTTGTATTTTCTGTGTAGCTGTCACCAAACTGCAGAGGACATTTATGCTCTTCATGTAACAAGTAAACCAAACTCTCCAAAAAAAAAAAAAAGAAACGACTTATATCATTATAAACCATTAAAAGTTGAACAAATTATTATTCATCCACTCACGATAGATTGTCATCCTGCTCTAAATGCATATTCTGGAAGATGCCTAACCCCAGATCGCTTTCAGTAGATTTGTTAAATAATGATTTCATTCTTCATGGGCTGCAGCTTTTAGTGTTTGTAATGGAAGTTTATGACATACAGGAAGAAGCTTTTTGAAACAGATGCATCTTTAATCCGTTTTAGGTTGATTTTGGCCTTTGCATTAGATTTATTTGCAGCAACTTTGCAGATAGAGGACTATAAGGTTACACCAAAATCATCTTTATCAACCTTTTTGTCTCTTTTAAATAATTCCTTCTGCTGGAGAAACATTCAAAACTGATTCCAGCATAATCATTTGCAACCAGCACACAGCAGCAGCAGCAGCTCACTGGCGTTGAAGCCTGTAATTAGTTAAAGATGCGTGCTGCTGTCTTTCTTTATAGTGGTTTTTTTTGTCGCTCGATGTTCCACAACAGGTGTTTACTCCCTCCACCTTCACACCCAACCGTCAGCTCTGATGCGTGACCAGCATAAAGCTGTCTGCCCTGACGCGTGACCACGCACGCTCAACAAACGAATATTGCGTGACACCAATTTATATGGCAGCTGACCGGTCACCAGTGAAACGCATGAATGTTTACTTTGTGAAAACGTGCTTGATGATCTGCAAAATCATCAAACTTGTACAGCCTGTTTGATTCGCGTTACTCTCTGCGCAATGGATAATTAGCTGAAATATGGGGACAAAATCTACCTTTGTTTGTTTTTATCATTTGCAGCTTGCATGGTTATAATTGTTTTCCTTCTCTTTATGTGCTGTCAGGCTGGACAGAGGTTAGGTTAGGTGAGGTATGTTGGTCCTGTCGCAGTTGTGTCCTTTCCTTCTGCTCTCACACACTGCAGGAAAACTGGACCCGCTTCCTTCCTTTATTGTCCTCCCGCAGCCCAATAGATTGAGTCTTTTCTTTCCTTTCTTCTTCTTCTTCTTCTTCTTCTTCTTCTTCTTTGACAGGTTGCTTTTGTTCGTGTTGTTTTCGAGGGAAACAATGTTGTGGAAAATGCTTGAGTTCAATTTTTCCGTCGTGCTCAGTGGTAGGACGGTGATCAGGTTGTCAACAGAGCAGAGGAGAGAGGAGAGATGCGCTCTCAGTTAGACGGTGGAGTGTTGCTGCTTTATTTAACGAAATCCACGGATCGAGCTGCCTCTCCTGCAGTTTGGGGATGTGACCTGTTGCAGATGTTGTTTTCCAGACTTTAGACGCCTGATGGATGCAAATGGAGTGAAATGAAGCAGCGCCGACAGGTTCATTTTAAGCGGCGGATCGCTAAATGAGGAGTTGACTTACTTTTTTTTTAATTATTACTATTATTTATGAGACTTAAAATATTTTTTCTGGGGTCTGTCTGTTCAACTTTGGTCAGCAATTATGTTTCCGCAAAATACTGAAACCAAACAAGATCTCTTCAACGCGCTGCTGGCACTGTGATCGTGGCACCGCGCCCTGCTTTGTGGAGGACTGTAGCCCAATAACCCGCTTTCCGTCTCCTCTCCTCAACCCCGTCTTCCCGACAGAATGGCCCGTTTTGGAGACGACGTCCCGGGCTTGTTGAGCTCTGGGGATGGAGGATCGGAGCGCAACAGGAACCGCGATGGAGCGGCCATGTCCACAGGTGGGATCTCCCCGGCATTCAAGCAGACCAAAGCGCAGCGCGCCCGCACCATGGCCCTGTACAACCCCATCCCGGTTCGGGAGAACTGCTTCACCGTCAACAGGTCGCTCTTCATCTTCGGAGAGGACAACGTGGTCCGGAAGTACGCTAAGAAAATCACTGAGTGGCCATATCCTTTTTTTCCTCCCCGCTCTGCACGGATGATATCACACTAACCTTGTTTGTTCAAAGTGTCTAAATGGAAAATATAAAAGGTAGGTGAACTGTGACCAACGCTCACTGTGCAACAAAGTCTGATTTCAATAGTTTATCCACACCCAACCACAGAAACTGGCACAACAATCGTTTAATTACTTTCACAATTCTGCAGAGTTTCACCTCTAAGAAAAATAAATGGGATTACTTACCTAATCCCATTCATCTAGACATGGATAAATGTGTAGATAAATGACATTTATCCATGCCATTTATCACTTGGAGCACTTGGTTTTGGAGCAAGTGCTCCAAAACCAAACTGGAGCACTTGATCTAAAAATAAATATGGTCCTTTTTCCCTTTGAAGTAGCTTTCACATCTTCCACAACAGCAAGGTATATGTTTGTTTGTTTGTTTGTTTGTTTTGACATTGAACTTTTTGACCCTGGCAAATCTTCTAGCCTAAAATATATTCCAAAATCCATCGAACTCTTACTGGTTTCTAAGAAAAGCCTATCAAACAGAAAGTTATGGTTGCTTGAAAATGTTTGGCTCATTTTTTTTGGCCTGTAGAATAAACGTAGGAAGTTTCAGCACCACGGATAGCACTTGTGGCACAGAGGTGTTGAAATTGTGCTTAATTATGTAGAATGTGTTTTATTAAAAAGATTGATCACTAAAAAGCACTTAGCTTCTTGTTTTGTAATGAAGTTGAGTTATAGAAGATGGGAAACTGTTCCTGAGTGATGCAGGTGTCATTTGCTTTTCCTGTTTTGATGCTGGAAAGCGTGCCAAAGCAAAGCAACACAAGAGCTTTGCTATTCATGGCTTTAAGCCCTTTCTGTCAGCGTTACGTCATGAAGAGCTGCCCATTCCACCTATCAGCAGATGAACATAAGTAAACTAGAACTTTGATAATTGTACTAATTAAGCACAGCTGTGCTTTAATGATGAATTAATCAAATCATAATATGTGTTTATGTTTTCAGTTTATTGTGTAAAGTCAGATCAGGGCTTCATAGGTGAAGTGAATAACACTGATCATCCTTTCATCATGGCACCTGTTAGTTGGATATATTTGGCAGCAAGTGAACATTTTGTTCTCATTTGTTGTGGTGCTAGAAGCAGGAACTGAGTGGCAAGGATCAGGATTTCAGTCGGTTTAACAAGGTTTGCAGTAGTAGACAGCCGTGAGAAGTGGAAATGCAGCAGAGGCTTTTCGGTGCATGTGGGGAGCGAAGCCTGACCCATGTGTGCCGGTCCGAAATACAAGTAGTTCAAACAGCTGAAGACGTTTTATTGCTGATGCGATATCAGAATCATATTGCTATGCTAGGGTTACAGATTGCCAATGCTTGGTCATAATGTTGTGCCTGTTCAGTGTTGCATCCATTACGATCCAACTCATTTTTGTGTAGTTTAATTCAGCCCAGTTCATCCAGATTAAATGTTCGCACACAATGAAATGATTTATGCGTATTTCTTGTTGTTTTTGTGAGGTTTGAATTTAAACACATTCATTTCGTTCCTGGTGTTGATATAAACCAACTTGTTGCTTTACTTTCAAAACAGTCCTACTGTTTTGCGCCTCCTGTTGCAGGGGATGCGGCACACACAAGTGTCGATTGGCGGCGTGTTTATGCCGCCGCTGCTGCTGCTGCTGCTGCTGCTGCTGCTGCTGCTGCTGCTGCACAGCTCACCAGGTGTCCAGGCCAGGTGTGGCCTGTTCACAGACTATTGTTCTGCTCCATTCAGCAACTTCCTGACTGACTGACTGCTCCCCTGCTGAGCTTATAAACATACCTAATAGAAGGAGACTTCTTTTGTTGATGACTGCTGCTCATCGTGTTTTTTGTTTTCTTTTG